TATATATATATATATATTTTAAGATAATTAGATAATTTATTAGACAAAATTAAAATATTCGAAAATAAGATTAATATTCATCTATCAATATTTTGAATTTCATAATCTGCTATCTTTAATAATATTTTCTGGTGCATCTAATGCTCTTTTTCTGTTAGCTATAGCATTCATTAATTTTCTTTTAGGTCCAAGTGGAAGTTTAAGCATGGCGATATCAGTTTCAGTTAATAACATTAAGGCTTCTAAATCAATTTGTTCTGATTCTAAAACCGGATGAATTGATGATAAATTGTTGGCAACTAAAAATCTTTGTAATGGTGTCCATTCCTCATCAGTCTCTTCCTCTATAAATTTAATTTGTTTTTATATAAATTTTAAAATAAAAATTTAAAACAAAAATGCTATGTATTGATAAAATAAAAAAAAATTGACTATATAGAATAAATTTACCTGAAAGTAAATCATCATCCCACATGCTTTGCCGACGAGCTAAACTACCTGCACTTCCTATGCTGATTTCTTCGTTGTGCCCATTGATTCTATGACCATTTATAGATCCATTTACGGAACCATTCACGCAAGAGTTACCGTTTTGTTCATGTGCATCCACTTGCGAGAGTGGCAGGTTATCGAAAGTAGTAGTTATCTGAAGTTAAAAAACAGCAGTCTTCTATAAACTGCTTTAAATAAATTTTAAATCATTATATTTGAGACATTTCAATAATGTTAATAAACTATTATTTCAATAAATAATATTGTAATAATAATAAATTCTTGAAATATAATATTGTTTTTTTTTCTTAATTTTGCATTATTTAAAATATATTGTGTATAATGTGTATATAATGTATATATATAATATATAATATATTGTGTATTATAATATATAACATAAATTTATAATTATTCATTATAAAAATAATCAAAAAAATAAAATTGAGATATATTTTATAATTTTGTGTTTTTTGTATATTTTATAATATTTATTATTAAGGTCTAAATATTTATTAAAAATCAGTTCGCGATTGAAGTTTTATATATTTATAATGTGATTATATTATGCTATAATTAAAATGTCCCGTATCATTATAGAATATTTTACAAAATATTGCTTTTTTAGCTTTCTAAAAGCTTTCTAAAAAAATTAAACTTATTTAAAATAATAAATCTTTTTTATTTAATTTTATTACATGCATATAAGTATATTATAAACTTACTGCTCTTCGAAATGCTACTGATCCAAAACCAGGTCGATTGAAGATACTCGCTGGTTCTTGTAATAAGACATTATCTTTTATATCATTTATATCTTCTCTATTATCTTGTTCTATATCATCATCGAAAGATCGATCACCTAAGAGATCAGGAGTGCTTTGTGCTTTGCTTAATGTACCCCAAACATCCGAAATTTTTCCTCTCTTTCCTATTTGTTGAGTTTGGGTTTCATAAGTCCCTACATACATTATTTCAGAATCTCTTCTAAGTCCAGTGAGACTACGTATCGATTTTTTTCCATTTACTTCAATCTAAAAATATATAATTTAATTAGAAACATGAAAATTTATTTTTTTTTTCTTAAATATGTTTTATATAATTAAATTTTATTTAACATTATTTTCATATTTAGAAAAGCTTTAATAAAGTTTATTGATAATATTAATCATTTCTTAATTATGTAATATATAATTAAATCTATAAAAAGTATATATTGAAATATTTAGTCACCTCTACTACTTTAAAATCATCAACAGCTTTTTTTGCTAAAGCTTTTTTACATACTGCACTACCATGTTTCTTGGTGGTAGTGCCGACGATATCGCTGAAGGTTGGTGAAGGTTTTATTCGACCTTTGAAGGTCAACACAGTATGTTTGTGAGGTAGAATACCGATTTCGTTAACCGTAGTTAAATCCAATTTTGTTCGATCTTTTGATAATTTTTTTTGTTCCTTTTCAGCTCGAATTTCTGCCATTTTTTGTTTTTTCATATATTCTTTTAACCTATTTTGTGCATAATTACCATAATTATAGAAATTAAAATTGCATTAATGTTAAATTATATTAATGTTGATATAAATTTTTTACATTTAATGATTGTATAAATACCTTTTTTCAGCATCTTTTTCTGCTTTTTCTCGAAGTAGACGACTTTTTTTGCGATTATTTAATTCTTGATCGGCTTGAGCAAGATCTAAAAATTGAAGAGTCATTTCTCTTCCATTTATAGCAGCTAAATCTCTAGCTGAATGTCTATCGATGTCTAAGGACCAAATATTACAACCGAATTTCACGAGGAACTTGACGCAAAATTCATGACCCCTTGCTGCCGCCAGGTGAAGGGCCGTATTACCAAAATAATCGGTTTTGTCGGGATCACCCCTATGAAGAAAATCGTTAAAACATAAATTATTCTACATCTGCTGTTTAATATATACGTTCACGCAAAATAAATTATAGGATGGATTCTTTTTACAATGAATAGTACTTAGTATTACTTTCGAGAATTTTTAAAAATTTTATTATTTTACTATAGTATATTTTTGAAAAAACAATATTTGTATTTTATTATTGTTAAATTTTAATATATATATATATACAATATTTTTTGTGGTTTTGTAATTGTTATTTTTGAAAATAAATATTTTTATTATAATTTGTCCTGTAAAAACAATGAAATAAATGAGTTTTGTAGCATCATATCCTGTTATGCGATATCACACAAACGGAACAAAGTTCCGGAAGGATAGCAGGTCTTATATCGAATTTCTATCGTTCGTCGACCACACTGAAGCCAGTCGAACGACATATGATCTTATTTACAATAGGGCACGTGCTATCTTTTAGCTCTTATGTCGCTTATTCACGAATCATTACTAATTTTATGAAATAATATATCGTTATAAAATTTCTATGATTCGACATGAATTATATTTAAAATTGAAACAAATAGTAATAAAATTTTATTAGTATTTTATTAAATATATTTATTGTTATATATTATGCTATTATGTAATATATTACATTAAACCGTTTACTATCCATGCATAATAACGTAAATAAATAGTAAATTACAATAATAAAATACAATATGAAACACGATTATTTTATATTATATTAGATTTTAAATTTTCGAATTTTATTCTTTTAACGTATTTGAAAATATTTAAATTTAGTACATATATAATTTATATGATTTAAATACTTTTTAGTTATTTATATTTTCCACATATATTTATTTTTATCGTGAAAATTAATATTAAAAATGTGATGTTCATTTATTTTTTTCATATTTTATAAATTATATTTTTGCAATTATAAATATTAATCTTGACTAAAGTAGTACTTTCCGATTCATTTCAGTAGTATTTCGAATAAAGCGGTAGAAAGTGGTTGTGTTCATGTTAGTGATCGAAATTATCAATTATTTTTCTTTTATTTCCAAATGAATGTACTTATATTTTTCAAATTTATTGAAAATTTATCTTTAAAATGGGTAAGTAAATATTTTTGTTAAAAAAACCTTAAAATTGAGAAATGATTTTAAATAATTAGTTACAGTTAAGTATATAGGCATATACATGGGTAGTATAACAATTCCTCGTTCCCCTGTTTCATTTCATTCCGTTCCCTTGCATTTTGTTCCATTCGTATTCGATTGTTTTTCATCAGTGCTCGCTTGGCCGTAATTTCCGTTTGTAGGGTCGATAGATGCCAGATTATACCATATATTTCCGGTTTCACACATCTGTCAACTTTTAATAGAACATTCTCGTATATACAATACGTATACGTAATTAAAAAAGAAGGAAACTACGTTCTAATCTTAGGTATATTTTAAAAGTAATCAACGTTACACTGATTAATGTAACTTTTTCAATGTTTCGTGAATGTCATTTATACGAAGTATTGTTAAAATTTTCGTGTTCACTAACCACAACGACCTCGTATTTAATTTACATGTGACTTTCAAGGTTAACTAGAGATATGTGTAAACTTTTTAACTTTCGCATCAAATTCTAGTTTTTGTTAAAAAGTCTTTTTATTTAAGTATTATATTATAAAATTCGAAATAGAAATTTTAAAGAAATTCTTAAATTCACAATATGATACGGTAAGATTAAATTCATTATAATTAAATATCAGAATATTTAATTTTAATTAAATAATTTTTTTTGAAATATAGAAATAAATTTTAAAAAATTTACATTTTTATTATTTTAAAATAGAATATATTATAGAATATATTGTGAATAAGCTTGTTATTAAAATTATAGATTCTGCGCATGCGTAAATGTTTTAACCGCGGAAAGCACTGCTCAAATAAGAAAAGTTATATAGTGGCGCCAAAAAATAATAACCTCATTGCGGGATTATATAAGTTACATTGTTGTGATCAAGAATTTTATTATTTATGAGTTATTGCAAATATATGGTAAGTTTATGTAAGCATATATATTAATAAATAAAATTTATACAATAATAAAATCTTTTTTTCACAATTATTAATTATAATACGTGAAAAGAATACTTGTAGAAAATTCTATTATATCTATACATGTTTCTAGAATATGTTTATAAGTAAATAGTTTTGCGAGCATACCCTCTGGCGACGAGCAGTCTCAGAGCATCTATATGACCTTCAAAGGCTGCCCATAATGTAGGGGTCATTCCTCCGTCATCCCGTGCGTTACAATCCTTTTTTGTTGTTTCTTTTAAGATGTCTAAGGCGCCATCGCGTGCAGCTCTATAGAGGAAACAATTATAT